CCTGATTACCAAAAACTTGAATTGTATTCCCTCGTTATCCAGGTGGGTGCCTGATTACGAAAAACTTGAATTGTATTCCCTCATTATCCATGTGGGTGCCTGATTACCAAAACTTGAATTGTATTCCCTCGTTATCCAGGTGGGCGCCTGCCATTACAACAAAATAGACAAAACAAAAGATATTTTCTGCCCCAGTTTGGAATCTGGGCACATTTGTGAGTGTTAATAGAATCATGTTACCTGAAGAGCTCTAAGAATTTAAAAGCTAAATCCCATTATCCAGGAGGGCCTTGAAAACTTCAAATTAAATCTCATCTTAAGAGTGACAACTTTAAAGATAAGTTATATTTCCTACAGGTAGAACTTACGTTAAATCTTGTTATCTATGAAGGTTTTGAAACCTAGCTAGATCCCATTATCCAGGACGGTCCTGAAACATGAAAACTAAATCCCATTATCCAGGAGGGTCCTTAAAATTTTAAATTAAATTCCATTATCCAGGAGGGTCCTGAAAACTTAAAACTAAATCCCATTATCCAGGAGGGTCCTGAAAACATGAAACCTAAATTCCATTGTCCAGGAGGGTCCTGAAACCCGAGAATGAACTTACCTGAACCATGCTCTCTTCTTGAAGGATTTTGAACAGAATTTCTTGCCCCTGAGCCATGCCTTCTTCATGGGAGGGTCCCTGAGGATTAACAAATTTTCTTGCCCCTGTTTTAGATGAATAAATTTTTGTTAGTTTGAAAACGTGGTGGTTAGTTTGTTGCATCATTACTGAGTGTCTGCTTCTGCCAATGCCAAGATAACTTTGATTTCAACCTGGACAACCTCGACTGTTATTGACTACCTATTTTCTTTCAACCCTTATCACAGAAAACATCTTTGCTCCATTCGATCCCAATATCCTCTATTTGTTGTATATTGCTCATGAATTGACATTTACCGAACCTTTGCATTTCACATGAATCCCAAAGCATATTGATTATGACCAACTCAGTGTGCATACTGCTCTTTCCTGACTTATACCATTTTGATGTGCTAGCTAGAATCCGCTTTGTGCAATTGAAAAGCTGGTAGCAGATTTTGAAGTCATTTCTTTACTTGTTCTGACAAAACAGACTCAAGAAGGGATTCAAACAAAATAAGAGGAACAAAATAAGGGACAATGGAAAGAGATGATACCTAACAAGGAAATTGCAAAGTAGAAACTTATCAGATGTGGATACCAACTATAATGACCACGACATGCACCTTTGGATTAAGTGGCCTAATCTCTCAAGCAAGTCTAATATTCAACTCTTGTTGTACCTCTTCGTTGTGGAACTGGGCTTCAGCGCTTCAATTGTCCCATTTGATCCACAATCCTCAGTCGACTTGTAGTGCCCTAAAGGTTTTCACCATCAAGCCTATCTCATTTTGCTCTTTTCTCAACTCACCGTCGCCTTACGGTGCCCCTGAGAGTTTTTACCGATAAGACTCTCTCATTTTATCATTTTCTCTCATTGTGCTGAGAATAAATGTATTACCCATGATGCAGAAAGATCATACTTTCACCACACACTTGATTTGGCATCCTCAAAGATTGGTCAGAAGGTCTTTCTTTGGACCGTAATGTAGGCTTTTGGACAGGGTTGGAAAGAAAGGGTGGCATGAAGGCTCAAAATAATTTAAGATGAAAGGGTTCAAAATTACAACTTTTGGAATCAGATCTTTTGGCAAAATTAAAAGTTCTGCCCCAGTTTCTGGAGTCTGGGATTTTTTTTTGGATCTTTGCTTTGAGATTTCTAAGAAAAACTGCCCCACTCTTAGCTTCGGGGATTATGAAATATTTTATTTGGTGCGACCGAACCGTAAAGTTGCCTATGTATCTTGTGGTGACAAGAATCAGGTTGAACGTAGTTCAAAAGAAATTTTTCTTTTCTTTTTTTTTTCTTTTTCTCTTTTCCTTTTTTCCTGTCCTTTTTTATCTTTTTTTTTTATTTTTTCTTTTTTTTTTCTTTCCCTTTTTTTCCTTTTCTTTTCCTTTTCTAGTTCCTACTCTATTTCTGATTCCAAAAGAGGGGTATGAAACAAAAAATTAGGGCTCAAAATGGGTAGCAAAGGATAAAAGTGTTTGGGTAGCAGAATAAAATGCCTTCGTCATACCAAACTCAAAAATGCCAAGTACAAACATGCAATTGAAGATAAGCAAACAAATCGCACATAGTAACTATTGATGGCATCAATACAAACAAAGAGTGCCAATGGGTAATACCTTTGTCTCAATGAATGATCCTGGCCAGTTTGAAGCAGACTTGACTCAACCTTATCTTGATGTGGAAGAATGCATTTCAGCACTGACTGATTTACCTCAAACTTCTTGAGAGACATTTTCTTATTGTATGCTCTTATCAACCTCTTGATTTCCTAGACTACTGCCTCAGTTTCACTCAATTCAAAATTTAGGTTGTCTCAGAATGCATGAATCTTTAATTGTTTCCTCAAACGCATCCTTTTATCATAATCAAAAAACTGTGCCATTGCTTCATGATTAGACCAACTTTCAAGATCGGGCTGAGAATTATGCGTGCATGTCATGTCACTAGAGTCGACATGAGAAGAACTATAAAAGGGAAAATGACCTAAACAACAATTGACTAGAACTAACAGAAAATAAGAGATTGCATTAGATAGATGATGAAAAGGGTTTGAACAAGACAAACAAAATAGACATGGGTTACAACCCTGGAACAATCCTAAATAACACTAGACGAGTTACTACAACTAAACGAACTAGACAAAATGAGAGGAAGAAGAGTTTGAGCCACAAGACAATATCCGGATTACAACCATGAAATAACCAGGACAAACAAAAATGACAACAAAATAAACCACCAAAACTCCTCCCTGGCTGTCCAAGAAAGGAGTGTCTTTCCAATTACCAAGCTCGATATCTTAGCCACTGGGTTGCACATCAAAATTACTGGGACTTTTACCAATTTCAATATCATTAACTTCAGTCAGCAAGTTCCCAAGAGGATTCTCATACTCCCCATCACCACGCATCTTCCCATGAAGTGTGCATCATCATGTGTAGGTACATGAATCTGCGCGATGTTCTGAGTGTCATTGTCCTGGACCACAATTATCCTTTCTTGAATCATTCTTTCTATCTCCCTTTTCAAAGCACAACAATCTTCAATGTTATACCCTTGGACATTAGAGTGGTACATGCACTATACAGTAGGATCAAAACCTTTTGTATAGGGGTCCGGAGTATAGCCAATGAGCGGCTCAATCAGGCCAGACTGTTTTAACTTTTCAAACAAACTTGTGTAGGATTCTCTGATTGGAGTGAAAGACTTTTCTCTTTGCTGCTGCCTTCTCATTTTGTACTCCGGCCTTGGTTGGAACCTCTTTCGGGTATAGAGTTGATATACTTGTAGAGGTGGATAAGACATTTGTGGAGGCGGTGCAAGCCGTTGCAGGTTTTGTGAGTGTGGAGCATATGACGGTGCATTGTGGATAGAGTACTGGGGAGGTGAGGTATGACTTTAAGGATTCTGTGGAGGAAAGTAGCATTGGGGAGGATTATCTGGAGTTTGAGGATATTTATGGGGTCGGTATTGAGGTTGAAAGCATTTAGCAGGAATGCTCACTAGATCATGTCGTTGGTAGGACTCGGCAATATCTTTTCTATCAATCGGAGAACTGACCCGAGCAACTTGTTTGTTCCATCTGAACCAAAACTCACTAAAACTTTCCTTGGGTCTCTTTCCTTGGGCATCGAGGACTTTGAACACAGTCTCGCTAAAGGATCAAGGAAGAATAGCTGGTGGAGAGGCTACAAAAATAGGAGCAGACGTCGGAGCAGGGTATGAGGTTGTTTTGGCTGGTGGAGCATGGAACCTTTGGGAGGAAGTGCCAGGGTAATTGTGGTAAGGGGTAAAGCCCGGTGCATGTTGAGGGGAAAGGTAGACGGTATTGGGAACCCGGGCTCGGGACATTAGTGGAATGAAGGCATGGTTTTCTGTATAGTTGGTAGGGAATAAAGGTGGAGGGTGCCCCTTAATCCAGGCCTGATACATTTCTGCCATCTGATGTTTCAACCTTCGGACCTCCTTTTTCAATTCTGATTCTACAATCTCCCTTGGTGGGTCTACAACCCTAGTGTCTGTTTCTTCGCTAGCCATGACTGCCTTGTGGTTTCTGGTGTTGTATGGATGAATCACCAAAGTTCCACAAACTAACCACCCTCTGTTATAATAAAAATGAAAGTAACAAAAAGGATCAAAACAAAGCCAATATGTTAGCGTTAGAGCATTTATCTGATAGAAATATCACATTGCGTTCAATGCCCCCTAGTCATAGTTAACGGTTCTAGAATGGCTTCGAGGGTACGAAGGTCATATGACATCATCCCAATTTTAGTCTTATTGCCCCATTTGCTTCTTCAACTTCCTTTCTAACACCGCTTGGTTTTTCATTTCTTTTCCCCTCTTTTCTTTCTAATTATCGCACTTTTCTTTCCTCTCATTTCTCATGTCCCGCAAACGCATTCTTTTTTTTTTTGATTTTTTGAAAAAGAAATGATACGATCGAACCCTATGTAGGTTGCCTACACATCATGTCCCTCATGAATCAGATCAAGCGTAGTTCTGGAAAAAGTAATGGACAAATAAACTAAAAATAAAAATCTTTTTGGATTTTCATTTATAATTTTTTTGGTTTTTCAAATACAAAACAGATAGTACGATAATGAAAGACTTGACAATCTTAACTAGACTGACAGACTCAATACTACTGTACAAGACTAATAATTAAAAGACAACATAAAATAGACTAAAAAATAAAAAGTTTCCTCAAGCAGCTCGTGCATGCAATGGTCTTGACTAGAATGACTTTTGTCATGCTCAAACTCTAGCAAATTGATACATACCTGAATGGAAAAAATAAGATCAAATAGAGTTAGCGACTCAAGACACATGTGACGCCACGACACCTTCTAGTGGACACATGCAAGACATGATTAAGGCTATTTTTGCAAAATGACCTACGTGGCCAAGAGTGGCTAAAGATGCAAACTCAAAAAAAAAGGATGGACCTTAAAGTAATACGACACCTAGTTGTGGACTCAAAATCCTAAGACATGGGTAATTGAACCACTTTTGCAAAAATGACCTCATTTTGCAAAAATGACCGATGTGGCAAAAAATGGCTAAACATGCAAAATTTGGCTAATACCCCGCAAAGCCAATAACCTAAGGCTTACTAGGAAGACCGGACCCTATGTGGGCTGCCTACATATCCTGCTCCGAGAGGCGAGAATCAGGTATGCGTAGTTCGGGAAGATTGGATATGGGAGAAAGCTTAAAAAATGCAACTAGTTTGGAAAAACTATATTTTTTTGTCAATTTGAAAAATGATGGAAAAGGTAAAATCTGTTTGGATTTTCTTTTTTTTTCTCTTTTTTTTTTGAGTTTTTGGAAAATGATGGAAAAGTGTAAAATCTTTTTGGATTTTCTTTTTCTTCTTTTTTTTTTTGGAAAATGATGGAAAAGTGTAAAATCTTTTTGGATTTTCTTTTTTTTGGAAAATGATGGGAAATTACAAAATCTTTTTTTGGATTTTTCATTGTCAATTTTTTTTGTCTTTTTTTGAAAAAATTGTGAAAGAAAAATATAACTAGGCCCTACTTGCTTTATATCACCCTTCTTTCACAAACATCGGTCTGCCAAATGACCTTTTTACCCTCAAAGATGCAACATGGATCACATAAAGATGATTGAATGTCATTTTGGGCCACGGCCACATTTTTGACAAAATTTGGATAGGGTTCCTACAAAAGGATACGATGCCTGGGACTGAGTCCTACTAGGTGTAAATGACATGATGCAAATAAAATGACCTAAAGGCTAACCTAAGTTTGGGGTTCACTAACANGAAAGAAGACCCATGGTTATGCAAATGATGACAATTTATAAAGCAGTAACACATAAAGGAAAAAACTGTAAACAAATAGGCAACTAAATGAAACGACATAAACAAAATAAAAATCAAATAAAGCAAACAAAACACATAAAAACCTCAACCGAATATCCTAAAAAGTCAACAAGATCAAGTACCATCTCGAACCTGCAATTCCCCAGCAGAGTCGCCAGAGATGTCACACCCCTTTTTTAACCAAAACTTCACTAACCCTCTTAAATTAATAAAAAGATTTGTAAAGCTTGAAAAGGGTTTTCCAATTAGAACGTGACAAAAATTGCGTTCAAAAGGAAATAACTCAGAGTCGTCACCTGACATTTGATTTCGGTGTGTTAGGTCTCCGTTTTTTTAAAAATGATTTTCCTTTTGAAACACTTTAGACTCCAAAACTAAGTCTGCACCAGAGATTTGGGTAAGGGGGTTTATTTGACTCAGGGAGAAGGTGTTAGGAACTCCCCAAGTTCCGTAACTAGTACGGTTGCATACTTGATCTAGTCGGCTTTATAGGATATTCTAATTGAGGCAAAAATACACAAAACGAAATAAACATACCAGTGGCTCGAGGTCATCCCCACCTAATAAAAGAAAATAGAAAAGAAAATTAAAATAAAGTCCAAAACACTAATATATACTATACTTTTCCCCAAGGTTCGTCATGGCCTCCAAATACATGATACTACGGGGCATACCCCGGATAAAAATATATACAAATTCTTCGGGGCATTCCCCAGATAAATTTAATTAAGGAAACGACCTCTTACCTCAAAATTAAAAAAACAAAATCCTTGAGTTTGCCTGCCCGAACATTAACGGCCTAAACATGCTCCTAACGATTAAAAGCAACAAAGCAAGATAAAGAACTAAGAAAATCGATCCAAGCTCAAATGTCGGTCCAGTATGCCTTTACAAAGTCCATGCTTGTAATAAACCAACCCCTTGACCAAATTCAATTTTTTTCATTTTATCAAATTGTGACTTATTTGCCTTAATATTACAGATGCACTTCAAGTTTAACCCAATTAATTCAAACTAGTCCAATACGAAATTAACAGTAATGCAAAAGACTATAGTGAATCAAGGAAAGCAAATTAAAACACAAAACAGGACATGAAACATTCCAAAACCATAAACAAAATAATGAAAAGAGCAAAGCACATATGAGATAAGAGAAAATTGAACCTCATCAATGATTTCTTCATATTAAACATGACTTTAGTCATAGCAAATCCCGAAAAACCAAATCTGACCCGAAAGTGCAACAGTAGTAGCAGCTCGGACCGCGAATCTCTTTGACAGACCTCTTCGACTCAAACTCAGGACCGACCAGATCGAGTTTCGTCCTCTGTGTGTGTTTTTGGTGCTGCTGGCTTTATGTTTTGGATCTAGGGTAAGTCGGCACCTTGGTGGTGTTTTTGGTGAGGATGACTGCTTCTTTTTGTAAAGGAGAAGAAGGTGGAAACAACTATGACTTAGAGGTTAAGGTGAACGAATTGTCGCTGCTCTTCGTCTAGATTAGGCCCTAGGTTTTTTTTTTTTGTATCTATAAAATCTGATTTTGAGATAGGGCAGTCCTTGGGTGTTGAGGTCGGGTGCAGCTGTTTTATGCATGTTTTCTAGCGTGAGGGAGACGGGTGGGTGTAGTGTGAGTGAAGCAGCAGCAGGTGAGGAGATGGCTGAAGGGGTGGTCGTTTGGAGGAGTTCGCTGGCGGTGAGAATGGTGGAGTTGGTCGGCGACTGTGTGTTTTGAGTGAAGTTCAGATGATTTTAGATCTTTAATGTTTTCCTAGGTTGAAGAAGATGAGGGGTTATTGTGTAGGGATTTTAATTTTATTCCAAAAAGGAAATCTGATGGGGAATTGGGCATGGGTAAGGTGTTTGGGCTTCAAATTTTGGACTTTAACATTGGGCTAAAAGAAATGTCCAAACCTTAGTTAAATCCCTCTTAATATAAGACAAATATACTACATAATGCAAAAATTGGTCTAATTAATTAAACTAAATTATTTATATAATATGAAACTATTTTTTTGTATTTTTCAAATGTTATACTAAAATAAAATAGGTTCAAAGTAATATATCCTTCTAAAAATATATAATACTTGAATTAAATAGAAAAATATAGAACTATATTTGTAATTTTTAATTTTGTGATAAAAATAATGTAAAAGAGTAAAAATTAGTTGAAATAACTATATTAGGCCTAAACTAACTATCTAAGTGCTAAAATATGTAAAATCTTAGGGAGGGTAAAAAATCACATGTCTACAACAATCTTCTCTAAAGATCGAGATGGAGTCCCCGAGGAAGAGGTTCTCGAAGATGTCGCTCTTGAGGATATACCCCCGAAAGTAGTAGGTCCTTGGCTGTTGTTTTTGCTTCTTTGTTTCTGTGTAAGGGCCCCTCGTGGGCTTTGTAAACATTTTTTGTTAATAAAAGAATTTCTCCATTTTATCTTCGATTCATGTTGAATTCCATTCTGCCTTCATTTGTGAAAAATCCGAGTGTATAACTCTACGATTAGTCTGAATACTAGACCCAAAACATAATAAACCCTTAGGTTTTAATCGACTAATATAACACCTCTTAAGGTTCTTTGTTAATCCTCGAACTAAGCTTAGATTGAATTGATGCAAGCTCGGGACGTTGGGACTCCTGAGTCCGAGTTGAGTGAGAGCAAGGTCTCGAATTTGAAATAGACTTAGCTCTTTTAGGCTTCCTAGATAGTCCTTGAGTGAGAATTTTCTCGAACTCGGATAGCCCTTGGGCTTAGTAGTCGAGTGAGTACTTGCTCGAACTTGAAATAAAGATAGCCCTTAGGCCTTATAGATAGTCCCCGAATGAGAATTTGCTCGACTCGGGTAGCCCTTGGGCTTAATAGTCGAGTGAGAGTTTGCTCGAACTCGAAATAAAGATAGCCCTAAGGCTTTATAGATAGTCCTCGAATGAGAATTTGCTCGAACTCAGGTAGCCCTTGGGCTTAGTAATCAAATGAGTGTTTTCTCGAACTCAAAATATAGATAGCCCTAAGGGTTTATAGGTAGTCCCCGAATTGAGAAATTTCTCGAACTCGGGTAGCCCTTGGGCTTAGTAATCGAGTGAGTGCCCACTCGAACTCAACTTGTAAACTGTCCTTAATGATTTCTGACAAACTAATTCCTGATGCATAGGTCATGATGTTCATCATGACATAAGCGGTTGAAGTGACTGAAGGGTTGCTTTTTGTACGATTCCCAAAATCATTAATTGTAGGCAGCTGATGGTCGGCATTTTGGCTTCCTTAGCACGTTTAAACAATCTTTGTAAATAAACAAATCCCATAACCTTACAAACTTTATTCCCTCAGTGCTTCCAAAGTCTCATTTAGCCCTTTTCAATTTCCGTGAACTCTCCCTTCTCTTTACTAACAACATCTTTTATCTTCCTGGATCTACCGCATAGTGATGGCTAAAACTTCCAAATCTGTTCCTCAAAAGGAAAAAGCTCCTTCGTCTTCTCGATCGACCAAGAGTAAACCGGTAGTGCCACTTTGTATTGAGGAATGTATCCCCCCACCTTGTGAGATAACATCCGACTTCAAAATCGAAAAACCTGTTTCTATACCAGGCCGATGCGACCCTATGTCTCAATATATTTGTTTGGTGACCAAGGCCGAGCTTGATCAAGTAAAAGAGGATTGCCAATGGGACAATAAAGAAGTAGTGATTCCTTCCTCTGAGGAAGATATCACCACATACAAAGCGGGGTAATTGAGTGTATATACTTACCTGTTTACACTGGGCCCTGCAATTCCGACCTAGGGTCCCATAGATCTGGTTATCCTCGACTTTAGTCAACGGTACCGAGTGACGCTTGGCCAGATCTACCCTTCCTTATGGCAAATTATTTACTTACTCAGGTTTTTTTCGAGCCAAATCGAGGGGATGTCCTTTACCCTCAATCATTTGATCAGATTGTACAGTCCCCGACTTTATCGCGGGAGGGGGGCTTGATAACGTTGCAATGCCGATCCTTAAAGTCTCTATTTGTTAGTATCGATGATGACAAAGATAGTGGGTGGATGAGCCAGTTTGTCCGAGTCAAGGCCTCCAACCTCATTCCTGCTGATTAGATGTCATTCCCCGAGTAGTGGAACATGAAGCGTGAGTATACCCTGCTTCATTTTCTTTTTTTGACTTTGTATTTTCCTTTGAACTAAACTCTTTACGATGGTGTAGACGCTGCTTGGTTTCCTGGTGGGGTCCCGGACCTTGAGGGCTGGGTCTGAAAGCTGGCCTCCGCCTCCCCTTACTCGGAGCATTGCTGGTGAGACTTGGCCAAGGGTCGATGGGAGGCAAAAAACCATGGTGAGTTCTTCGTTTGTTTTCTAGTATTTTTGTTACGAGACACTGATCTGAATTTTATGTAGGTCTCGGAGACGCCATTGAATTGAGGCCGGCCACAACTGGTGAAGTGGAGGCTCCTAAACCTCCCAAAGAAAGAAAAAGAAGGGAGACATCTAAAAATCCCCCGAAGCCAAAGAAGAGCGTGGCTCAAAGGCCCAAGGCCGACACGATGGACTTATCTCTGGAAACGGCTCAACACCTTCGGGAATAGGAGGAAGAAGAAGATAATGATTGCCTGTTGGTAAATCGTAAAAAAAAGAATGCTGATACTTCGAAGCCTACCGAACCAGCGGCGGCTGATGAGGCCCACTCTAGAGCAGAAGAAATCTCCAAAAGGAGTTCAAACAAGGTCCCCGAACCATCATCCAGAAAGAAGGCACCTCGTTTAGGAGATCATTACAAGGGCGAGGCCGAACATCCTGACCCCGAGCCTCTTCAGATAAAAGAAAATGCCCAGAGTGGATCACTCAGGGTGATCAACGTGGATGATTCTCCCTCTGGCCCCAAGTTCTCCGACGGGCTAATCTGGGAAGCTGCAAACATGAGATCCTCTGGAGTTGGAGTAAACCATGAAGGGCACGGCATTGTCACGACCCTAATTCCAGACCTAGTTGTGATGGCACCTATCGTGAAACAAGGCCAGCCGACACAACTCCTAAATCATTTTTAACAGTTATAATAATTCAATTAAGTCATTAACATGCTATAAATCCAAAAATAAAAGCGAAATAGAATAGTCTGAGGAAACAACACAGCGCGATATCGGGGTGTCACCAGTCATGAGCATATAACATAAGTCTAGGAGTATGAAAACTGACTACACAGTCTATTACGGAATCTAGTACAAGGGAAAATAAAGATAGGAAGGAGAAACACTGGTTGCGAACGCCGAGCAGCTACCTAGTGAACTCCGAATAGCCCACTACAAGTAGTCAGCCCTCGCTAGTAAGACGCGGGGCTCCTGTATTTGCACACAAGGTGCATGGAGTAAAGTGAGTACTCCAACTCAGTGAGTAATAAAAGTAAAGGAAGCTGAGCGATAAGAAAACACGTAAAACATAGCAAGATGCTACACAGAAGCAGTATAAATTCAATACAATGCAATAAACAGTGAAAACTTGTAAGAAAATACCTTATTTCAGTGAAACCTCTTTAAAGCATCTTTTAACAGTTAAACAAGTGAATGATAAAACACAGAGAACAGATAAACACATAAGATCATCCCCTCGGGCACAATATCAACAGAATCAGCCCCTCGGGCAATAACATGGAACAACATCAACCTCTTGGGCTATATCACATGTCACACTAGGTATCCACGCTCACTAGGGTGTACAGACTCCGGGAGGGGCCATTTACTGCCCAAGTGCAATATCAAGCCATCTCGTGGCATAATCAATTAGGCTCTCGGCCTCATATCAAGCCACCTTGTGGCATACAACTCAGGCCCTCGGCCTCATAATCATAATCAGTATAACACTGCTGCGATATGCAGCCCAATCCCATATAATCCTCACAACACAGGCCCTCGGCCCTACTCAGCCAGAAATCTCTAAAAGCCACTCGGGCACAGTAAAACATGATGCTCAACCCAAAATATCATTTAAAGTTTTAAAGCAGAGTAAACATGATTGAGTTATGAAAACAGTAGAATATAGCATGACTGAGTACTGATATAAAATCAAAACAGTGAGGAATTAGCAGTAAAAATCCCCTAAGGGTCCAAAACAGTTGGCACGAGGCCCAAATATGGCATTCAGCCCAAAACATGATGATAGCAATTAGTTTTCAATCAAATACGTGGTAAAACAATCATTTGGGATGGACTAAGTCACAATCCCCAACGGTGCACGACCCCACGCTCGTCATCTAGCGTGTGCGTCACCTCAACATAGCACCACAATGTGTAATCTGGGGTTTCATACCTTTACGACAACATTTACAATCATTACTCACCTGTATCCGGTCCAAACTCTAGCTTGTGATGCCCTTGCCTCTCGAATCGGCCTCTGGATTCTCCAAATCTAACCAAAATTAGTGCCATCAATCAAAATATGCTAAGGGAACAAATCCCACTCGAAAGTAATCAAATTACAACACAAATTCCGAAATTGGCCAAACCCGACCCCCGGGACCACATCTTAGAATCCGATAAAAATTACATCAATAGACTCCTTATCATTCCCCGAGTTCATTCATATCCAAAGCACCAAAATCCAACCACAAATGATCCCTCAAATCCCTAATTTTTGGTCTCCAATTACAAGCCCTAATTCTTCAATATTTAAGCTTAAATTCTACAAATTCCATGATTAATTAGGTAGAAACCACATTACGATTGAGTATTAAGTCCATAAATCTTACCTCCAAGTGTTCCCCTTTGATTCCCTCTTCAATCCTCTTCAAAAAGC